TCTAAATCAGTAATACGACTGGTAGGTAAACGGGGAAGTTGTAGGGGTGCATGAGGCTGGCTATCAACCCCATCCTGTAAAAATAATTACCACCGAAATAGAATAAAATAAATACTATCGAAACTTCCAGTCTCTAGCTTGAGGCCCTGTGTTCCACTTGGAAAAAAATCTTGGAAAAAGTGTGTTTAAATCTTTATTGTAATTTACACTTTTGGATTGTTCAAGTTGTAGCCAATTGAAAAGGATTCGCGGAAAAATAAATAAATGTATAACTGTTCTAGACCTACTGCTTAACAAATATGTAGAAAGCAAATGCAGATGGATTGGGCACACGTTGAGGAGGCCATCGTCGAATGACGTCGCATGCCAGGCCTTCGAGTGGAAAGTGAGCGCACCATGTAGGAGACCAGAGACTATGACCAATCGTGCGACAAGCCAAAGAAGACCACAGGGAGTAGGAAAAAGTGAAGAAGTGCTGTTGAAGCCCTATGTTCCACTCGGAACCCAAGGAAACAATAATAAATAATTGGTATTCTTTATTTTCATATCAGCGTTCAATAGGTGATCAGACGAGTTAATAAAATTGTCTTCACCACGAGCAGTGATCACTTCAAGCAACCACACTATCAATTGATCAGTGAGACTGATTTACCACACCAGTTCCAGTCTAATTAAATCAAATACTGCAGTCAATAGACGCAAGTCTAACGTTTGCAGTGATTATGGACCAGGTTTTCAATGTTGATTAAAAATCAACGAGTAATAAAACTCAACTGATCACCACCACTCATGGAACATTCGAAAAATGCGATTTTCAATCATATCAGAAACATTATTTATTTTAATGAACTGTCGTCAAGATTTGACACATTAGTTCTAAAATAGTTGGGCGCCGAGTGGGAAGTAGACATTTGTAAAAATTATATTTGTAAAATCTCAGTGAGATTGAAATGAGTAATTCCAACGTGTAGTTCGGAAATCTGGTCCGAACTTCTTCAGGGAAATTAATCGAAATTAACATAACATAGTTTTATATATAAAAGGAACATCACTTGTCTTTAAAAACTTTGTCCAATCATGAGTCATTCAACAAGTATAATAAACAAAATTTTATGAGCTGTGATCAAAATTTGACCTCGGACTTACAAATATTAGTCTACCTTTGTTAAACACTTTAAACAGAGTGTGTATGTGTGTGTGGGTAAACAGTTGTAAAACATTTCTTAACGTCTCCATAAGAAGAAATGGACAGTCGAGAATTTTGACCAAGTATTAATAATTAGTGATACATATCCATTTTTTATTTATTAATAAGGATTTCCTATGCATCAGATAACATCACGCATTCATGTCTGTTCAAACTGTTAGTATCTAGAATTTTATGATTAGACGTATTTTCAAAATAATGGTGTTTAGGATTAGAGTTTAGTAGAAGCACCCTGTCGGACTTATTGCTTTGCCTTCTTTCTGAAGATTGAGCTGCTTTATTCAACCTACTGGAGTTGTCAAGTGACTCGACAGCTACGGATTTAGGATATGCATTCTGTTGCAGACAAGTTCGGACCAGATTTCCGAACGAAACGTTCGAATTACTCATTTCAATCTCGCTGAGATTTTACAAATATAATTTTTTACAAATTTAAAACAATTAGTTCCCTTTATGAATTTAGATAAAGCAATAAGAAGACGTAATTTGTCTGAATCGTGTAATGTATTTGCGCAACACATTTCGAACAATCTGATCACACACGGACTTGTCATAGGAATATATATGAAATTAATAAAGAGGTAAGAGGTGAGAAAATAGACTTAGGTCAAGTTTAAAGGACATATTCAAGGTCAAAGTGACAATGAAGACCACTAAACCAAATAACAGAGGTAATAGTACATCTGCTATGGTATCAAAACAAAATTTACCAAGGAAGGTTTAATGTGATGACAAATTGTTTTTGAACGCATAAAGGTGGCTTAAACTTTCTAATTGCTAGGGCTTCCACAAACTTTAGGATACGCCCCAAACACGTTTTATAGATAGGCTTAAAAGATCTGTTAACGTCAATTTTATGTCCTGTTTCTATAATATGTTTCGCAATAGAGAAGCTAGGTCTCCTGTTCTCACCATTAATGGGTTCTGAAGATTCCATTTGTTTCTGAAGCCATTTAGGAATATGCTCTGAAGCCCTTACTTGCAGAGATCGATGAGCCCTCCCTATGAATGTGTGTCCACACGTACATTCAAATTGGTAAATACATTGGGATGTGACGTCACTTTTCTCATGTTCGAAGGGCTTAGATAGATATATTGGCTTTACATTCTCTATTATTATGATATTGGCTGCATAAAAAGTCTTTTTGACAGCAGCGTTCAGTCTTTGTCTAGTTATCAAGCTGCTTTGATGCCCCATATAGGGTAGCTTGATGTACACGTCTTTCTTAGGGGCGAGTTGGAGAGTGGGTCTTGGTGTTCTGACTACTTTATATCTCCTGATGAACTTGTCTGGATAAATGTTATCAACCAGAGTTTGTGTCAACTTTCCTTCTTCCGCATCAAGTGTGTCTTCAGTGCATATTCGTTGGATTCTACTGAAGAGGCATCTTACTAAGGCTTTTTTGTACCGAACAGGGCAAAAACTGTGGTAATTAAGATATTGTCCTGTCCAGGTAGGTTTTCTATAAATAGATCTTTTTATTGACCCATCAAGCCGTCGACTAAGCAATATGTCTAGGAAAGATAAACAGTTATCTTCCTCTTCTACAGATGTAAGTGATATGCTATTTTGGACTTCACTCATTCGATTTAAAATTGAGGTAGCAGAACAAGACTTATCACTGATGATTACAATATCATCTACATACCTTCTATAAAGTGGCACATTTTCGATTAAATCCTCCGATAAATTCTCAATGTGCGACATATAAATATCTGCTAAAAGGGGCCCTAACGGACTTCCCATAATAGCAACACCATCAACTTAGCGGAAACAATCACCTTCAAATGTAAACCTAACATTGTTAGTACATAGAAGTAATAAATCCCTTAAATAAGATATAGGGAACAGGGTGAAAAAATTGTTTGTGGAAATATAATCACACAAAATGTCAACTGTTTTGAGCAAATTCACATTAGTGAATAACGAGTTTACATCAAAAGAGTACATATTCTTATTCATAATATTAATATTACTATTGTCAAGAAAATCAATCAATTCAAATGTATCTTTTAACACATACTTACAGAATTGTGTTTTGACTAAATGCAATAATTCTACTAACCATTTAGCAAGTTTATGTGTTGGGGATTTGCACATTGACAGTATAGGACGTAGAGGATTATTGGGTTTGTGTATTTTTGGCAAGACATACATATGCGGGAATTTACAATCTGATGGCTTTAACGAGTCAAATTTTTCTTTACTTATAGCATTTAGGCCTTGAAGCTTCAGTAGATTAGCTGTCACTGTGCCCTGCAACAACTGGATATCTTCTGAGGAGGGATCACGGCTAAATTTGCTTTTATCATCAAGAATAGACATCATTTTAGATTTATAGTCACTTCTATTCATAATAACGACTCCAGAACCTTTATCAGGTTTCGTAATCATGATATTAGGATTTTCCCATAGCTCTTTCAAGGCTTTGAAATGTTGGGAATTTAAGATGCTTTTCTCCTTTGGGTTGTTGTTTAAAAACTGATGAGCTATATCCACCATCTTGGCCTTAAACCAACCCCGATCTTCATCGGATGTTGCAGCAAGAGGTTTGAGTTGGTCATATAAGTTTTCAAACTCAGCATGTATGGCTAAATCCGTAAAGTGCGTGCGAGGAACACAAAATTTGAGTCCAAGGGATAATGCTTCTTTCTGATGAGTAGATATAGTAACATCAGAAAGATTTGTAACATACTTATCAGGATTCACCGGAAAGACATCTACGCGGTTTCGATCATCAATTGAACTCTTCAGCTTATTTTGTATATTCGTCTTAGTTTTCTGAGTAACGTCTTTACAAAACTGAAGAAATTTCATGTGGCATATTATTGATAATTCAAATAAAATAAGTGACGCATCGGTATGAAGAACAAATTACTTATTTTATATTGTATGTTTCATAAAATCAGGATTTTCATTGTGATAACAAGACAGAGGTAGGTCAGTCTCATCACTTTTCCTTGTGATGTGAACTCATCACCGCCTCAATCCAACGACCTTTTAAATTGATTATTCAGCACTTTTGCTTAATTTTCGTACATGCCTGACCAACTGACTGACAAGTGATTAATTGTCAGGTCTGATTTATTGTAAATGTTACATGGATGAATAGTACTCGTTGTTTTCAAATGATTATTGAGAGAGAGAGAGAGGCAGTGAGAGTTAATAAAATTTCATCTTTTGCCTGAGCAGTGTTCATCATTCAAACAACTACTACACCAACTAACTAACACTAATCAGTGCAATTGTGTGATTACTGGTCGGTCAATTAGTAATCAGGCCAGTTTAGTCTTACTTGATAAAAAAAGATTCAGTTAATGTGGACAATATAAGGTGGTGGAATACAAGCAATTCTAATGGCTTTTAGAAAAATTAAATAATAACTAATACCCGTTACCCGTTGCACACAAGAGGATGGATGGCACTCGTCGCCCAAGTAAGTGGCTCAATGGATGATAACACTTTAGTCTTTGTAACTGTGGCTACTGGGTGGGTGTGTTCAAGCCTCCTCAGTGGAGGGAACACCATCACTCGCTGAGGAGGGATGCAGATACAGCCAGTTGATGAGTCGATCCCAAATAGGACGAAACGGTGTGTGTGTGTGGGTAGGTGGGTGGAGGTGGAAGGGTTCCACTGCTAGTCACCATCACTCACCAAATTACTTCAAATTCTTAACCAAGTTTGGAAATACTAAAGTTGTTAGTAATTATGAACATGTGAATGCCTGAAATCTACTATCCTATGCTTTCATGCCATTAATCCAAGGTTATGGTTAAATGCATAAAATGTTACATGTCTGGAGATAATCAAGGGGAATCCCTAGGTCTGGGTGAAAGGAAACACATACATAGGTAACAACGCCTGTACTTTTGATGGACAGTAATAAGTGTATTCGGGACAATAAATACATCTATACCATTATAAAGTGATTTTGTATCGCTCCATCTAAGATCTCCAACCATTGACCCTTATTAACGTCAAACGTTGATAGCAGTAACAGTAGAGACACGACAGGTTGTAGGTTAGATTACGAACTGACGTCAGTTGGAAGCCTATCGGAAACCAGTGTGTCAACTGTCCAAACCGGGCAACATCTGCTGGCAGAAAACTAATCGCTGTCTCCGATTACTATGTACGGTAACCAACTCGAAAATACCAGAAAACAGATCGGTGATTCGCGGATTGTTTATTTCTCCACTGAAAAATTTACCAGGACTACAGGGTTACTACAGCACATATCACAATATTTCTGATCTTTTTTTCTCCAGTCCTCTGCCAAACAGCGTATGATTACGTCACGGCCTCCAATGTTTCCCGCTCCCTCTCCGCACCGCGAAAATGGAGATCTGTTCGAATAGACAAACCATATGTTGTTTATTCAATATTGACACAGAGATTTCGACCCTCCGTCCCTTTGAGGGCATAGTTACTTATTGCCAGTGTCTTAGACTGTGACGAAACAACTGTCCAATACACTTTTTGGTTTTCACTGGCTCTTTCAACTGATGTCAGTTTATAATGGAATTTAAGTGTGTATATCGTCCTGAAACCCCAAAATGGTCAGAATGTTAGTGTATATTATCAGATTGAATAAAGTCTCAATTATCGAAAAAAATATTGTGTATACCTACACCTGTCTGTAAGCAGCCTATACTTTGAAAGAAAACAACAATCCATGGTACTAAGAGTGTAATACTCTACCTTTATTTGTTTGTATTTTGCAATTGTTGAGTAGTATTCATAATTGTTAATCCCTCTCTCTCTCTCTCTCTTTATCTTTTGCATTGTTTGTCTTCATTCTCCAATTTCATTTCCCGATTGTTTGTGTTGTTTGTTGTCGTAGATGAGCCAGCGCCTACACGTCAAACATCCAATCAACTTGTCAAAACTCATTTGAATGATTTATGTAAATCAAGAGTTTGGAGTGATCTTCAACATAGTCTTAGGTGAGTTTCATCTTGCACTGAGTGAAGGTAACAACAACAACAACAACGTTGGTGTTTAGTAATAGCTGACTGTCAGTCGGTAGGTCCTGGCTTCGACTCACATTCCATCTACTTTAAACTGAGCAACTAGACAGTCCATGGAGTAATTTGTCCCCGATAGTTAAGTTGTAATCTAACTGGGTAGAAGACTGCGATGTATTATTCAACGTCTGCAATTCATTCTAATAACTGATAAGGATGATTCATGCTGCCCCTTCACTCACTTCGGCGTACAATAACCAACCAACCACTGATCGTTTTGAATATGTGTGTTTAGGTTATCATATAGAGTTCTATAGTTCAGTGGTCTGCACTAAATTTCAGACAGCTCTATGAAATCTAGGTTTCGTGCTTATTCACAGTTGTTGGTTGGCGTTATTCTGCAGTCCTGGAGGAAACAATGTTCTCATTGGTGTTCAAGAGACGGTATCGTCGAATCTAAAGAATAGTGGCCGTGGAGTGCGAACGCATCAGTGACTTTGAAGGCATACCATCCGTCGTTATTGCATAACCTGTCGTTATTAACAGCACCCCAGTATGAACGTGGTGCGAAACATTGAGGTGCAGATTTTATCCCGATCTCATTTTTAAGTATCGTTTGGATAATGGGTGGTTAGAATTATTCTGTGGTCTACCTATTCATATTAATTTTCAACGGGGAGTTTAATCATGTCCTTCAGTTCTGAGCAAGTCTGATTACTATCGCAACAGCACCAGAAGCACTCTCATCCAAATGCTCACTAATTAATAAGTTGTCTTTTCAATCATCTTGCCATCCCATCCCTTCCTATGCCATCTCCATACCTATACTATTCACTATTCTGTGGAAGAAGTATACAACAGTTTATCACTTGAGGCATTATTTGAACAGTTTGCCTTCAATAAAACCATGCAAATTAAAGTTAAAAATCAAACAGAGAATAAAGAATCTGGACTACCATAATGCATCGAGTTCTATCTGTGCAAAATCGGGAAGTATGATCAGTCGAAGTGTAAAGAGTTCCACTCCAGTTTCTTTTATCTCAGAGGAATGGAAAGAATCCTCTCTCTATAAATATCTATACAGGCGCTCTTATTCGATTTGACAGGAAGTTTCACGACGTTGTTTCTTTCCATCAGTTACAGTCCGAAGAATGAAAAAAGTCTACTCTTTGTGTAGGCACCAGAATCCGCCACATAAAAGCTTCTTCTAAAGAAGATGAAGCGTTGAATGCAGATGGTATTAAAGTTGCAGCTGTAGCCGAATTTCTACTCGACAAATGAGTTTGAAGAATGATTGAGATGGTTGTATTGCTCTCCAGTTACCAAGTGATGATCCTGTGGTGAGAGCTGGCTACAAGCCAAAATTCTAAACAACAATTTACGTCAGTGTTCACTTCCTGAATCGGGGTCATGAGAAAAACAATAACAAAGTTTAACCTTGAGAAAGTCACCAACCTGGGCAGATACGATTCGCAGATACATGACCGGAGTGTCTGAGAAACGGCCACAAAGAGATGACAGGATAACCTTCAGCAAGAAAACAACCAATCAGAAGACGCTCGCCTCTCCGCTAACAATAACGAATAATAATGTACATAAAAATCCATAAATACCTCTTGATTTTCCCAATAAACAAACTGTTGCCTGGCCCTTGTATTCTGTCGTTTCTATCCTACGCTGTTTCTTGGGGGGGGGCGAATTAATAGTCGAAGAGTTCAAAGACCTACAAAGTACCCTTTCAGTCAGTGGTCTTTTCTCTGAAAGAAAGACATTCCAGTTTTTCATTTATCACTCATGCTGCATATATTTATTGACTCTACCAATTATCTACATCAGTCGACATTGTTGTCCACTATTCTTCACACTACGGGTGTCATCAACTTTTCTGATTTTTCACTTGTTTCTTTGAAGGGATTTGACTGATCTCGAGATTGATCACGATTTGACAGCAGTTAGAGCATCTTTGAAAACTAGGGGGTGTTGTACAGCTGTTTTGTTGTTGTTATTGTTGTTTGTGTACCTTAAGCTTACACACCTATGTCGCCGCCGGGAATTGAACCCGGAACGTTCTGGTTACAACCCGAGCTCCTACACCACTCAACCATTGGGACGAAACCCAGTTGTCCATAAATCTAACTCCAACCATTCGCGATATATATGACGCAGTCGCCAGTCAATATCTTCAGCGAGCAGTTAGGCTCACAGAACTCGGTGGGACGCTCTGGTCATGACCTCTTCAATTAAAAACGTCGGCCAACTTCATGCTGTAATGAGTCACCAGTGAGCACTAAATTGAATTTCATCTGTAGGTCTTAGGGATTCGATTGATTTAAACGTTGAACTGGCCTTGTGTAGGCTTGAAGGTTGTGGGTCCTATTCTCGGTGAGAACATGGATTAGTACTGTTGTATTTTCCCAAACAAGGAAGAAATGACTGTCCAATGCTCCTTGGAGAACTAATTATAACTGGAGTTTAGACTTTAGCTCCTTAGTGGAACTTTGGGCTTTCCAGGCTTGAGCTTTGGAGTTTCATTAGCAGCAGTGCTGTTTGTTTTTCACGATGTAGGGTTGCTAGCCTCACTCACACCCAACTTTCCCGCTATTTACCGGGCTTACTGCCGGTTAAACCAGTTCTAGAAGTACGTCAGCTGGGGATCATCGATCGAGTCCCGGACCGCATGGGTGATCGACGAGTATTCTACCACTAAGTGACTTGTTGGAATACCTGGGCGTTTATCCAAGTAGCTCTGGCATGCTAAGAGGCGAGCTTTCTGCCACTTGACCAAGTGCGCCCCTCTACTACTTTAATTGTATGTGAGATACCCTTCCATTTTATTGTGCTTAATGTGTTAACCAAACTTACCGTGTGTTGTTTTTCCTGTTTCTTATTTTCTCCTAGTATGGCTACTTGGTGGAATGAAAATGCTAAAGGTTAGTTTTATACAAAAACACTATTTTTTGATAATTCATTTTGGAATGAATGAAGGATGGCACAGTTTACAAATTTTATCACAGTTTGCTGTAGAAATAATCGTGCAATTAGAATTGGTTTCTTTGATTATTCCAAAGGGAACCCATCGAAGTGAATGGTCACTTCTACTATGTGTCTATGTAATTAATTGGTCAACCGCAAATTCGATTCTATGTAACGTCATCGTCGCCTTAAAATGCTAGCCAGAATTTGTTTGGTTTTTGAACTGACTCGGCTTTGTTAACTGAATCTAACCGCTTACACATTGGTCAATGAAGAGCTCGAACCGTAAACTGACGAAACGGACGTCCTATGTGTGTGCATCACTTCGATCACTGGGAAGCTGTTACGTCCTACTTCCATAGTAATTGGTCAGTCTACACCCAGGAAATACAAATTGACGTAAATAAACAGTTATGACATCCTGTTTAAATTTCCTTACAGGAGATTGATTGAGTTTCCTAGGATGCTATGTGTATACGAGCTGTTCATAATAACCTTTGTTTGGCAGTATGTGTTATTCCATATATCAACCCATATGACTGGTGATCAGGCGAACGTTGTGTGCTTTAGGAAGTGTGTGGGTGGTTGTCACTTCTCGATTACCCACACCATGAAATTTGATTTTTCCTTGGAAATACCTCTAAAAGTAAGCGCATTAGTGTTGTGTAACCTCAGCCATGGGGACAGCAGTTTCAGACCGGTCATACATGACCTTCTTTGAATTTGTGTTTTAGGATTGTGTTCGTGTTAAGAACCTACCACTGTGTAAGGTAAGTCGGGATTTACAGTCTTCGAGGACGATCTTTTCTAGCCTCCTACTTACCACCCAGAGTGAAAAGGCAACATTGTTGACTTGCTGGTCATCTGAGGTAAACTCCTTTCTCTCCTGTTGACATCTCTACTCGTTAGCAGCACGACTTCGCCAAAACAGTGTAATCCGTCGTTGGGTCATTGCGATATATGTGCAAACCTGACCATCACTTCAAGGTTGCAGCTATCGGTCAGGATACTTAGATATACTTGTTAAGGAATAAGACATATTTGTCTCTTTTAATAGTAGTGTCAATATATTAGATAGTTGAAGGCAATCGGCAGGAAGCCTTGGACCTAGGTTTCGTGCTAGTTGGCACTCATCAGCAAGGCGTATCTGCAACCTTGGAGGAACTCATGTCCCTCCTGAGATTCGAACCCGTGTCACTCAGTACTGCAGTGAGTCAGAGACGTTACCACTAAGCTATTCGGGCTGTAGTGGGTATTTCGATTGGACACTAGTAACTAGTGTGACGTATCTAGTCCTTCTTTGGTGCAGACTGAATTCTACCAGTCAGGTTGTAATGTGGCCGCCATTCTAGGTAGCTCGCCATCACGGTGCACATTGATTTGATATTAGATAGTTGGAGGCAATCGGCAGGAAGCCTTGAACCTAGGTTCGTGCTAGTTGACATTCACCAGTCAGCAAGGCGTATCTGCAACCTTGAAAGACGTAGTGTCAATATCATTCACACTTCCATTAGTTCTGTATGCGAATACACCGCTTAATTAATCGGTTTTTCAATGGTCAGATCATCTGAGAGTCTATGATTGGTAGGAGATATAGTATATGTTAGAAATGATGACGAGTGTGAAGGTTGAAAATACCCATGCAGTCATATCGAAGAAAAAGCGTTCACAGAAGAGTTACTCTTTTCCGCGAAGGTGAAATAAAAATCAGGGTGTCCCACTGCCAGATCCTCATACCCTCCAAAGCCTCAGGATGGTCGGGGGTGGGTGCCTTGCGCTGCGGGTTGGCCACCCCTCCGCACACCTCTTGAAATGCTCCCATATGACCGGGCGTCTTACATAGCCTCTCCTGAGGAAGTCCTACTCACTGCCTTCACGTGGCGGAGGTGTTTTTCACCAAAGTGAGAGGGCGAAAGCGGATGCCCGGCGCTCTTCACCGGGTTGACTGTCCATTGGATGACAGTCTAGGGGAGATGGCTAAACCCTGATTCCAAACCTCCAACGACTGGCGTATGAAGCTCACTGGAGCTCACCGGCAGACGTATGGACAAAGGGCTTGTTGGATGTCTGGCCCCATTCAAAAGGCGTATGAACCGAACTCCGGTCACCGACTGCCAATGGATAGTGGACTCCCTACTCCACTCCTACTACCTTGTAGGTCACACTTGGTTGTGTAAAGGCTAGAGCTGCACTCTCAAACAAAAGGCCGAGCGATTGTGGGGACATCAACTTCTATTTCAGTTCACGATATAGCGCGACTGGCCACTAGGCAATGTGTAATGTCATCGGTGAGTGTTTATCAAACTTTGGTGGATGCGTACCGTTGAGAAGTCTCAAAGTAAGTAGGAAGCGGCATTCCAATATTTCCAGGTTTAGTACTGGTTCTCTATCGGTGTCATCTGTTGAGGAAATCTTGCAAGCAGTCGAATTGCTGCAAACCAACAGTTGAAAAAAATAGATTCAAATGAACTATAATAAGTAGAAATGTATGGGTGAGTGAGTGAGTGAGTGAGTGAGTGAGTGAGTGAGTGAGTGAGTGAGTGAGTGAGTGAGTGAGTGAGTGAGTGAGTGAGTGAGTGAGTGAGTGAGTGAGTGAGTGAGTGAGTGAGTGAGTGAGTGAGTGAGTGAGTGAGTGAGTGAGTGAGTGAGTGAGTGAGTGAGTGAGTGAGTGAGTGAGTGAGTGAGTGAGTGAGTGAGTGAGTGAGTGAGTGAGTGAGTGAGTGAGTGAGTGAGTGAGTGAGTGAGTGAGTGAGTGAGTGAGTGAGTGAGTGAGTGAGTGAGTGAGTGAGTGAGTGAGTGAGTGAGTGAGTGAGTGAGTGAGTGAGTGAGTGAGTGAGTGAGTGAGTGAGTGAGTGAGTGAGTGAGTGAGTGAGTGAGTGAGTGAGTGAGTGAGTGAGTGAGTGAGTGAGTGAGTGAGTGAGTGAGTGAGTGAGTGAGTGAGTGAGTGAGTGAGTGAGTGAGTGAGTGAGTGAGTGAGTGAGTGAGTGAGTGAGTGAGTGAGTGAGTGAGTGCATCACCGATATCGGGAACGATTTTGAAAGATATCACACCAACAGTGTCTGTTGCCGTCATTGGTTCTTAGCTTGCCATTGACCACAACTAGACATTTTACATCCACCTACCTACCTCCGCACCTACCTATATATGTGGCTGACCGAAACCAGTACTCATGGACTTGATGATGAATTGATGTCATGTTTTTGGTTTCACAACCCGTAATTCTTTTCCAAACTATTCGTTTCTTCTATGTCAGCTTGACAAGGAAGACTGTGAATCGGCTCGATGTGTAGAGCTGGCTTACAACTTCATTGTGTGTGACTGGATTTACCCTACTTACTACCTAACACTCTGT